GTCTCTATGGTTACTTTTTTATAGTGTTCACTGAAATTTAATATGCTCTCCTCTGTCCCTCCCCTCAAATACATTACGTCCACAATGAGGCAATAAATCAGGAGTGAGAAATAAGGAAGCAAGCTTATACACATGATTAAAGTAAATAGTAACTATGAATTTGCTAACCCACAACTCTTTGCCTCAGCTCTATCTTGGGGATAGAGACTCATTAAACCTTGTTTTCAATATAGTGAAAATATTATTTTTACATTGAACTATTATTAAAGAAAAGAAATTCCTCAAATTATATTTTGAATGACAATAATATTTCAAAGTTTATATAGCTAGCTATTGCCTCACATTTTCTGCATATTGTACTGGGTGATGCATGATAGAATACATCGTGACCTCTAAGACACCTTCCGTATTTGTAATCTCTGTGTGAATGTATGTGAAAGAGAGTGATATCTTGCTAGCATTTGAGAATAAACAGATATAATAAAAATGAAAAGATAAAGATATAACAAGACTATTTTAGACTGTGTGTGTTGTGTGGATAAACAGATGGCAGAAGGAGGGGGAATACAGGTATGTACACAAATATTTATAATAAAAATGAAAAGGTGCTAAGATACATGTATATCCATCTTTAATTTCTTGAGGGCAAGGTCCCTGATCATTTCTATACATTCATTCTTTTACTTCCAGGGCTGAACACAATGCCAGGGACACAGCAAGAATTTAATATATACCTGTTAAATGAACAAATGAATGCATGTATACATAAACTGTTACAAAACTTTTGACGTATCCTGGGGATAATGGAAGTGGGTGCATTTCTGGGAGAAGGGGTCCTGGGTGGAGATCTGTACTGCTAATTTTTTCTCCATTATCCATTCTCCCCTTCTATAGTAACAGTTCCCTGATTTTTAGCTGGACACATTTATCAACCTCCTTTGCTGCTGGTTGTATGACTAAGTTCTGACCAATAAAATGTGAGCCAAAGTGATATGTGCACCTTTCAGGTTATTGAAAAATACGGGCTGCTCTCTCTTTCCCTTTTATCCTACTAACTACTGACTGGAAATGGACATGACCTTAGACTAATGAGGGAACAGCAAATCCCTAAGGAGGAAAGGCAGAGGCGGAATTAGGACCAGTTGTCTTTCAACTATACCTGAGTTTTTCAAACTGTGGTCTTTGGGCCAACTGCATCAGAGTCGCCAGAGTTACCTGCTAAAAATGCAAATTATTGGGTCTTACTGACTCAAATCTTTGGGGTGAGTTCCAAGGATTTGCAATTTTTTTTAGTTGCAAGCGGTGGTTCACGCCTGAAATCCCAGCACTTTGGGAGGCTGAGGCGGGTGAATCACTTGAGGTCAGCAGTCCAAGACCAGCCTGGCCAACATGGTCAAACCCCGTCTCTACCCAAAATACAAAAATTAGGTGGGTGTCATGGCGGGCACCTGGAATCCCAGTTGTTCGGGAAGTTGAGGCATGAGAATCACTTGAACCCGGGAGGCGGAGGTTGCGGTGAGAGGAGATTGCACCACTGTACTTCCAGACTGGGCGACAGGGCTAGACTGTGTCTCAAAAAAAAAAAAAACAAAAAAACAAAAAAAAAACTATATTAAAAAAATGCCTTAAAGAATGTGCATTTTTTAACAGGTTCTTCAGGGACTTGCGAGTTGAAAATCACGGAACTGTGTCAGACTAACCTCAAAAATATCCTCAAATGTTTATAAACAAAGCCAAGGGCACACATTCCGGCCCGGTGCGGCCCAGGAACTGGGCGAAGCTGAAACAGGTGTCCCCGCGCGCAGACTGAAGAGCGACTCTCCCAGCCCCGGGCAGCACCTGCCAAATCCCGCGGGAACGGCCCGGGCGCCGCGCCCCCTGCCCCACCTCCTCTCGCGGTTGCCATGGAGACTCTACCCCGGACTGGTCGACTGCCAGAGACCCGGGAGGCTGAGCCCTCACCCGTCTCTGCGCTCACCCCTCTCCGTCGCCACGTCTGTGAAGGCCTCACGCGCGAGGCCAGGCGAGGCCCCGAGGCGCGCACCACTTCACGGCACCGGAGCCAACCCGGCGCCGGAGGCCGCGACGCCCCCCCGTCCCCGAATCCAGCCGGTGGGAGTGGCTGCATTTGAACCCAACGGCCTTCGCGGGCCGCAGCCGTCGCCCCGCGGTCCGGGGGCTCCAGTGGGCCTGTGGCCGACGCCCGCCTCCGCGTCTTCCTCCCCGAAGCCCCGGGACCCATCCGCCCTCGGAGTAAGGGAGGAGTCGCGGGAGCCGGTGACAGGGCTGTGGGGACGCGGACCGGGCTCCCAGGGCCGCTCTGCCCCCAGACTGGCCCGGGGAAAGCCGCCAGTCTCCTTGGGGCTCTTCTCCCGCCGCCGCCGTACCCCTCCTCGCCTTTTTTTCCTCGACCGTGTGGAAGTTTCGTGCGCGGCTTGTCCGGCTCGAAGTCTGGGACGCTCGATGGGCCAGGAAATACCCCCTCTCAGTCTTTAAGGCCACAACTAAGGGAGCCCCCCACAGGGGTGCTGCAGAAAGAGTGATTTACCGCGATCACCTTCTGTATTCACAGAGACCATGCTGCAGATGCGAGGAAAGCCATTTCCTGGAACATCGGAATTCTAACCCCAGAGTGAGGGACTCACGACAGGCGAGGGGCAGACATGCTGAACTCCACGGGCGAACTGCAGTTTTCCAACGAAGAAAATCCCGAGGTCATCTCCCAACTCACTTCCCTGGCTCTGTGCGATGGGAAAAGCTCAGCTGGTGTACCCGAGAAAACGGGCTATCCGGACTCTGTTTATGTCATGGCGGCGAACATTTTTCAGGGTATTCGAATCGAAAAGTCGGCACAGAAAGTCTTAATCAAGTATGGAAATGAACCCCTGCGGTCCTTGTCCGAGTCAGAGGATCAGTCCTTTCGGCGTTTGTCCTATGAGCTGGCTTTCAGTGCCCTGAAATGTGAGTTGCGCCATTCCGGAGGATCACAGTAAAAGAAAATAATAGTGAGAGAATTTGAGGAATGCAGCCCCCCTCCTCCCTGCTCCTCATTCACACCAGGTGTTGGTTTTAGCCAAGTGCATCTCTCTGGTCAATTGCAAGTGTCAAGGATTTAGGGTTCCAATGAAACTAGCTCTTCCAGGCCAGGACTGCAGATTTCTTCGTGCCTGGCACTGGGCTTTGTCCTTAGGTTCTAGTGAGCGGTCGTTAAATTGATCAAGTAAACAATTTATACCAACGATCATTTCCCTCTCCCTGTATTTTGTTTTCTCCGTAGAGTTGAGGGGGGTCTCACTTTATTGTCCGGACTGGTCTCAACTCTGGACCTCAAGGGATCTTCCCGCTTCAGCCTCCCAAAGTGCTGGGATTACAGGCAACAAGCAACCACACCCGGCCTCCCTGTGTTTTTCTTTCCATTCCCTGTGTTTACTATTTTTTGGTAGTTTATGAGCTTTCACAAATAGAAAATCAGTAGGGAACAGAGACTAATAAACAGGAAAGGTGCCAGATTTTAAAAACGAATATCAAAATTATACCAACCCCAATTAAGACTATCCCATTCATAGCCAATGGCTTTAATGGGAGGGGCCAGACTTAGTAGAACTTCTCTGTCTCATTTGCCTTCAGAGTTTGAGACTCAGTGTTACCAATTCCCTCAAGGGTGGTTGATTATCAATCTGAGGCCAGATGTGGTGGCTCAGGCCTGTAATCCTAGCACTTTTCGAGGCCAAGGTGGATTCACTGGGCTCAGGCGATTGGGCTCAGGCGTTCAAGACCAGCCTGGCATATAGTAAGACCTCCTCTCTTCAAAAAATTTAAAAATTAGCCCAGTGTGATGGCTCATGTCTGTAGTCCCAGATATTTGGGAGGCTGAGGTGGGAGGATCACTTGAGCCTAGGAGGCAGAGGTTGCAGTGAGCCAGGATGGATGGTGTCATTGCTCTCTAACCTGGTAACAGAGCAAGAACTTGTCCAAAAAAAAAAAAAAAAAAAAAAAACAATCTGAATGCAGAATTGAGACTAGGAAATAACCAAATATTGTTATTACGAGGAGAGCAGTCAAAGGGCCTGAAACTTTGTTTTTGTACTAGCTGTGACTAAAAACGTTGGTTTGTAAACTGACTGAACGTAGTTCCAAAAAGAAGTTCCAGAAATGTTTAGAGTATTAGCAGCATGGCTGAAATGATGAGTAGAAGAAGCCTTTCTAAAGAGACACCTCAAAAAGGGCAACACTCTTTTGCATGATTTTCTTAGTGTTTGATGAACCTTGTACATCCTTGCTCATAGGAAGAAGTTAATTACTCAGTTCAGCTGGGTGCAGTGGCTTACACTTGCAATCCCAGCACTTTGGGAGGTTGTGGTGGGAGGATTGCTTGAGTTCAGGAGTTCAAGACGAACCTGGACAACATAGTGAGACCCTCATCTCTATTTTTTAAAATTAAAAAAAAATGCTCAGTTGAATTCGAATGTCTTACTTATTATTTAGACAGGAATATATATTTTTTGTTGTCTGAAGAGATGATATATGTAGCTTAACTCTGAAGCCAGCAATTTGTCATGGAGAAAAATTTGTATGATATGAAACAACTTCTCTTTAATTTTCATTTCTTTGTTTTCTCCTGCTCAGGAATTTTTCTTTTCTTTTTAAGTCTGTTTTAACCATTCTTCCTCCTCCAGTTTAATTTTTCAGATTTTGTTTCATCTCTCTTCTCCTTTCCCCCAACCAAAGTGTTACATTTCATGCAATGAATCAAATCAACATTTTTACACTTTTTTTTCTTGCAACAGTGAAATGCAGACTGGGCAGCTGTGTTGTTTAATTGATATTTAATGTTAATGCTAGAATTCTATTATAGGTAATTTGTTCTCCTAATAGAGTATTGAGTATTACCTTTAGAATTCAATAAGAAAAGCCTGATTTATAATTCTATATAAAATTAATGCATTAACTAAATGATTATGTTGTAGTGATATATGTGATAGATTGTTTTCATCTTCTCCATCTTATTTTCTGTTTAATGAAAGATCTTGTGATTATTTGATCTTAATTAATGACAACATTCAAATAAATTGTCATAGACCTTTACAAAACCTTTTTTTTTTTTTTTGGGATAGGGTCTCATTCTGTCTCCTAGGCTGGAGTGCAGTGTTTTGATTTCTGCTCACTGCACCCTCTGCCTCCTGGGTTCAAGTGATTCTCCTGCCTCAGCCTCTCCAGTAGCTGGGATTACAGGCACATGTCACCATACCTGGCTACTTTTTTTGTATTTTTGGTAGAGACAAGGTTTCACCATGTTGACCAGGCAAACTCCTGACCTCAAGTGATCCACCCCCTTCAGTCTCTCCCAAAGTGCTGAGATTATAGGTATGAGCCATCGCACCTGGCCAAAACTTTTCTTGAAATGTTCTTTTTTTTTTTTTTTGAGGCAGAGTTTTGCTCTTGTTACCCAGGCTGGAGTGCAATGGCACGATCTCGGCTCACCGCAACCTCCGCCTCCTAGGTTCAGGCAATTCTCCTGCCTCAGCCTCCTGAGTAGCTGGGATTACAGGCACGCAACACCATGCCCAGCTAATTTGTTGTATTTTTAGTAGAGATGGGGTTTCAACGTGTTGACCAGGATGGTCTCATCTGTTGACCTCGTGATCCACCTGCCTCGGCCTCCCAAAGTGCTGGGATTACAGGCTTGAGCCACCGCACCCGGCCTGAAATGTTCATTTTTATAAGTTCAAATTATAAGGTAAGATGGTTGTTTACTTGTTAAATATATTTTTTCTTATAATAATACAGTTGATATGGTTTGGCTGTGTCCCTACCCAAAACTCATCTTGAATTCCCATGTATTGTGGGAGGCACCCAGTGGGAGGTAATTGAATCATGGGGGCAGGTCTTATACTGTTCTCATGTTAGTGAACAAGTTTCATGAGATCTGATCTATAAAGGGGAGTTTCCCTGTACAACTTCTCTTTCCTTGTCTGCCACCATGTAAGATGTGCCTTTCACCTTCCATCATGATTGTGAGGCCTCCCCAGCCACGTGCAACTGTAAGTCCATTAAACTTCTATCTTTTGTAAATTGCCCAATCTCAGGTATATCTTTATCAGCAGCATGAAAATGGACTAATACCAGGGTCTTATCAGTAATTTCTGAATGTACAAATAGAATAAAATCAGAATTTTATGTAGTGAGTTTTCCAAAATAATTAGGAACCTGCTATTTTACTTTTTGTTTGTGAGATGGAGTCTTGTTCTGTCACCCAGACCAGCGTGCAATGGCACAATCTTGGCTGACTGCAACCTCTGCCTCCTGGGTGCAAGAGATTCTCTGCCTCGGCCTCCTAAGTAGCTGGGATTACAGGCGCCCGCCACCATGCCTGGCTAATTTTTGTATTTTTAGTAGAGATGGGGATTTCACCATGTTGGCCAGGCTGGTCTCAAACTCCTGACCTCGGATAATCCACATGCTTTAGCCTCACAAATTGCTGGGATTTCAGGTGTGAGCCACTGCAATGGGCCAACTGCTATTTTACTTTTAAAATATTGGAGGCTTTTATTCATTTCACTTTTACCTACTGTATTATCAGTGTTCTGTCAATACTTTCACAGGTGATATTTTGTAAACTTACATCTGGCTTATACAGTATAAGTTCAAGACATAACGGATCAGAAAAGAAAACTCAGAATTTCTTCCCTAAGATTTTATAGGAGCTGTAAAACTGCAAAGGTTACTGTGAAAATTAAAGAGAGCTTGAGTAATGGTCCCTTTTGTTTATGAGTTTGTGAACAGGTAACTGAATAACATTACCATAATATTTAAGGAAGTAAAAGGAGAAGAAAAGCAATAACAGAAAATCTCTTATATAAACATTAAGTGTATTCCTTTGGTTGTCTTTTATGCTTTTCAGTTTTGTTTGTTCCTTTGTTGATGTCCTTCGTTGCGTATTGCATATAAGGTCTTTCAAGGCAGGAAGTATATTTATCTGATTAACCTCTTAAATATTTAAAGGGCTCCGTAAAATGTTTTTTGAAATGCAGACTGCCATTAGTTCTGCTTTACCAAATAACCTCAAGGTCAATTTTCTGCTAACAAAGGTAGAATTACTAATGAAAAGTAGCCTGCCTGTTCCTTTCTCAAAGTAGTAGAGTACCAGGAGCCAATTAATTTTTTAGAAGAATCTTGGTATGTTTCAAGGAACACTAAATATTTTTTTAAAAACAGGGAAAGAAATATCTGGCAAAAAAAATTTTTTAAAGAAATTAACAAACAACAGTTAAAAAAAAAAACTTGAAGAAAGAGATATCCCTGAAATTGCTAAGTTTTTTTTTTTTCCTGGCTTCTTTCTCCACCTTTTCTAGGTTTATGTTGTTGGTGAACTTCAAATCCCAGGAACTGATTGTAGCATTAACCTGGTGATTTCAGAATCATATAATCTGTCGGTGAAAAACTTAGTAAATGCTTAACATGTGGTTTGGTTATAGCTTTTGGGAATTAGTAATTGTAGTTAGGAGTTCCTAAGACCACCTCCAAGTTCAATAATTTGCTAAAAGGACTGACAGAATTCAGCAAAGCTGTTATACTCATGGTAATAGTTTATTATAGTGAAAGGATACAGATTCAAATCAGCAACAAGTAAAGGTACATGGGGCAGAGTCCAGGAGAGACCAGATGCAAGCTTCCTATTTTCCTTTCCCAGGGTGGTCTACAGAGAGTTCATTGTCCCACCAGTGATGAATGACAACATGAATGAAGCATTGCCAACTAGGAAGCTCACCTGAGCCTTGTTGTTTGTTTAGCATTTTTATTGGGGGTCAGTTTCATAGACAAGGTAGAATCATGTGGCTGACCTTAGTTTTCAATCTTTAGCTTCTTCAGAGGTCAAGCGGATACTGTGTGGTCTAGGGACCCAGGGATTAAAAAAAAAAAGTTACCTTTATCAGATATTCCAAGAACTGAGAAGTTATCTCCTAGGAAAGGATTGTCAAAGGGCAGCCCTTTCTTGAGAATCTGCAGAGTTTGGTGCCCCCAGCCTGCTGAGTGGGAAGAGGGAGAGAGATGCCCTAGTTCATTCTTCTAATTTCACATGTCTACTAAACCCAATTTTTATTTCATAGGGAGTGGTAAGAAAGGGTAGAGAGAGAGTTAAGGTATTTTTCTAGGGAAGGCCCTCCACATGGAAACATGTGAAATGGTGGATAAGAGTTCCCTGCGGCAGACTGAAGAGAAGCTTTAATGAGTGGGGAGAGGGAGAGATAATTGGAGTTATTGGGCTGACTGGGCTGAATTCTAGAATAGGCAGGGTTTGCAACTTTCAAGTAAGTCCTGATAACATAAATTGGGTATTATCAGTGTGGTTTATTTAGTTACTCTGGTTTGTCATAAGAATAAGAAGAGGAAAGGCAGCATAATGTTGTGGTGAAGTGTATGTACTTTGGTGCCAGACTGCCTGGGTTTGACTCCTTGATCTGCTACTTGCTATGTGACTATGAACGTGTTACTTAACTGTGCTGTGCCTCATTTCCTATGAAATAAAACAACCTAACTCATATGGTTGTTGTGGAGATTAAATGAATTAATATATGAAATGCACTTGGAACACTGTCAAGCACAGAAAACATACACACAGTCCCCAATTTATGGTGGGGGACCTTATAATTTTTCCACTTTACCATGATGTGAAAGCTATACACATTCAGTAGAAACCATACTTTGAGTACCCATACAGCCATTCTGTTTTTTACTTTCAGTATCTAATCAGTTACATGAGATGGTCAATACTTTATTATAAAGTAGGCTTTGTGTTGGGTAATTTTGCCCAACTACAGGCCTGTGTAAGTGTTCCAAATATGTTTAAGATAGTCTAAGCTAAGCTATGGTGCTTGATAGGTTAGATGTATTACATGCATTTTTTATATACAATATTTTTAACTTATGATGGTTTTATCAGGATATAGCCCCATCATAAGGCAAGGAGCATCTGTATAAAGTATACAGTTATTCATGTTGATGTTACTATGTGTGAAGGTAAAATTGTAGGTATACAAAAGTAATGCATTCTGCACAATATCAAAGGCATCCCAAAGGTAATACTGCTTTTGACAAGAGCCCAAGGGGAAAAAAGTGCAATATTGAGAAAAGCATGTTTTTTATCTTTTTGTTCATTCTGCCTCTCCTTTTTCTGTTTTGTTTTGTTTTTTTAGACAGAGTTTTGTCACTCTTTTTGCCCAAGCTGAAGTGCAGTGATGCGATCTTGGCTCACGGCAACCTCCACCTCCTCGGTTCAAGTGATTCTCCAGCCTCAGCCTCCCAAGTAGCTGGGATTATAAGTGTGTGCCACCACGCCTGGCTAGTTTTTTGTATTTTTAGTAGAAAGGATGTTTCACCATGTTAGCCAGGCTGGTCTCGAACTCCTGACCTCAGGTGATCTGCCTGCCTTGGCCTCCCAAAGTACTGGGATTACAGGTGTGAGCCACCGTGCCCTGCTAGCCTCTTCTATTTCTTAGGAGTCCAGCATCTCCATTGCTCAGAGGTCTGCCAAGTTAGAAGTCCTTCATTCTAATACTGTACTTGTGAAAAAAAGTACAAAACGTACAAAGTAGATGGGAATTGGTTTGAAAGTACTAAGGATGTGAAGTGTAATAAACTTCATTTCCTTATAAGCGATAATTACCTTGTGAAGTACAAGTATATAATTGTGGCTGGAATGTGAATAATGACTCCCAGAGGATTTCTATGGGAAAATTTGGGAGTCTGTGCTCCCAAATTAGTCATTTCTTTTTAGTTTTCCTATCTCCCAAATGAAAAATGAAATTTAGGCCAGGCATAGTGGCTCATGCCTGTAATCCTAACACTTTGGGAAGCCAAAGTGGGCAGATCACTTGAGGTCAGGAGTTCAAGACCAGCCTGGCCAACATGGTGAAACCCCGTCTCTACTAAAAATTCAAAAATTAGCTGTGGCACATACCTGTAATTGGTAGAGACAGGAGAATCGTTTGCACCTGGGAGACGGAGGTTCCAGTGAGCTGACATCATGCCACTGCCTGGGTGATAGAGCAAGACTCTGTCCCCAAAATAAATAAATAAATAAAAAGCATTTATTATGTGATGTATATATAGTTTAAGTAGTTGTAACAGAAAGACCACTCATGTTCCCTGTGGAAGTTTTTAAATATGTTCGCTTGTTTCTACTTAACCACCTTTGCAATTATCATAACCTCTACCTGGAATGCTGTCCCTTCCTAGATATTCACATGGCTAACTCCTTGTCATTTGGGTCTTAGATTAAATGTCATCATATCAGTCTTCACGATTGAGTTTTACCAAATAGTTGAGAAATAATACCAATGTAACACAAACTCTGAGAGAATAGAGGAACAGTTTCCACTCATAGGCTGTATAACTTCGATAACAACACTGACAAGGATATTACAAGAAAAGAAAATTGTAGACCAACATCCCTCATGAACATGAACATACAACAAAAATCCTAAATAAAACATTAGCAACCTGGTGTGGTGGCTCATGCTTGTAATCCCAGCACTTTGGGAGGTGAGGCGGGCAGATCGCCTGAGGTCAGGAGTTCAAGAACAGCCTGGCCAACAGGGTGAAACCCCGTACAAAAATTAGCCTGGTGTGGTGGTGCGCAGCTATAGTCCCAGCTACTCTGGAGGCTGAGGCAGGAGAATTGCTTGAACCCGGGAGGTGAAGGTTGCAGTGAGCTGAGTCGCACCATTGTACTCTAGTCTGGATGACAGAGCAAGACTCTGTCTTAAAAACAAACAGAACAAAAAAAATTAGCAACTCGAATCCAGCAATACGTAAAAAGAATAAGAAAACTGTTGCTCAACATTATTAATTAGTTCTTTAATGTTTTTCAAAGGCCTTACATTAAAGGTTGGAATCCTTTTATTACTACTTTGACTATTAGGATAATGCTTCTTTGACTATGATTCCACGTGGAGTCTAGGTCATAAGGGTTCAGCATTCATAAAGATTACAAATATTTCATCATGTCCTTGTAATTTAAGTCTTTATCCAGAATTGAGGTATATTTTAGAAATGAAAGTAAATGTATTTATGGCATTATTAAAGTATATTTTGGTTCCAGAATTTTCATGTTCCACTTTGTATTTTTGGTGAGAGCCATTTCCCTTGTCTTGTAGATCAAGATATTTTGGAAGCTATATTGATAGACAGCTGTATCTTCCCAAGTACCACAATAGTAAGTAGATATGTTTTAGAATTACATTGTCTCATGATTTTTTTTAAAAAGAAAGTGTTCAAAAGCCTTTAGATTTAAATAATTAGTTTGCTTAATATTAAAACCTCTTAAATATAGACTATCTTCCAATATTCATTTTGGTAAACATATCAAAAATTGTCTCTTTTGAAAGGTTTTTTTTTCTGGCTTTTTTTTCTATTTTGAAGACCTTGTTTCTTTCCTTATCCAATCAGACTATGTAAAAATAGTCATATTTCTGCTCTGTTATGAAAAATAATGGAATGGAAAATATTGCTTGGTAAGATATTGTTTGTATATTTTTCTTCATGTGTGTTTTCCCTTGATAGCCAGATCATTTGAGCAGTCTTATTATTGTGATGCTATATGATTTCCAAGATAGGAAATTTCAAACTCGTGTCCCTTCTGATAATGAAGAGTCCATATCAGAAGTTCGAGAAGTAGAGAACCTTCTTAACAGGTAATTGTAAAAGTGAAAAGGATGTTTTATATGAAACCTACATTGGTATTTTCATTGGTAAAATTGACATACAGCATAATGTGTAGATAAGAGTTAAATTTTATAGAGAAAAATATAAAAATGCATAAATTTCTTGAATCCAAATAGGTTAAATATTTTGTTTAAAATTAGGTTTTTTTCAAAGCTTGATTTACAAGATCAAATGTGTAAGTATGTGAGAAATCATTAAAAAGTCCCAATAATTTTTATCACATAAATTAAACTGTATTTGAAACAGCTACTAATTGCTTAGTTTATTTGTAGCTTTGTAAAAAAAAAAAAAAGAAAACCTCTAACATGAATCAAATGAGAAAATTCCAACAGTAGGCAAGAATCAACTATTTTGCCAAAGTAAAGAAAAAAAATTCTACTTAAGAATAAACTAACATCTTAAATGTTAGCAACTCGAATCCAGCAATAGGTAAATGTTTTCTTTTTATCCTAAGTATCAGAAGAAGTCTACCCTGAAAATAATAATTATCTACATCAAAGGGTAGTTGGGATAATGGATTAGATTAATGCAAGTAAAATACTCAGCTTAGAAACAGACATAGAATAAATGGTCAGTAAATGTTAAGTGTTACCATTTTCTACGGCTTGAATGTGTCCCCCAGAATTCATATATTGGAAACCTAATCCTTAGTATGACAATGTTGGGAGTTGGGGCCTAATGAGAAGTGTTTAGGTCATGAAGATTTCACCCTCATGAATAGATTAATGCATTGGTTACTGTTACCAACTTGTAATTTTACACATGGGAAAAATCAGGAACAGACAAGTTAAAGCAGGGGTCACCAACCTGAGGGCCGCAGACCAGTACCCTGTTCAGAACTGGGCCCTGTGGCCTGTTCAGAACTGGGCAGTACAGCAGGAGGTGAGTGGTTGGTGAACGAGCATGACCACCTGAGCTCTACCTTCTGTCAGATCAGCAGCCGCATTAGGTTCTCATAGGAGCATGAACCCTGCTGTGAACTACACATGCATGGGATCTAGGTCGCGTGCTCCTTATGAGAATCTAAGGATCATTATGAGATCATCTAATGCTTGATGATATGAGGTGGAAAAGTTTCATCCTAAAATCATTCCCTCCACCCTCCCCCAGTTCGTGGAAAAATTGTCTTCCACGAAACTGGTCCCTGGTACCAAAAAGTTTTGAGACTGTTTAATGCCATATAACGGGAAAGGGGAGTAGCCAGAATTCACACTCAGCAATCACTTTCTACCTAGAGTCCAAACTTCAACCATTTATATGCTATCGCTCCTTCCACTTAACTTACTGAGGCTTGGCTGGGGTACTCTGGAAGTTTAGAACATAGTCATATCTTGTGTCATTGTCATAGCCATGAGAAAGCATGGGATGGAGAAGTGCAAAAGCAATCAGGTGTATGTGCTCACTGTGTTAAATAAGTAAGGATATTGTGCCTATTTATTTTGGGTTTTGGGGAAACTGCCTTGCTGCTATGCTAGTTCCAGTACTGGGCAGCCTGACTCCCAGGATGGGCATTCAGAGGAAACTCAGTGGAGCAATATGCTATGGGAGAGGCTCTGAGTTTCAGTTTCCTGTGCCTCTCCTAGTTTCTGTTTGACATAATCAGGACTTAGGGGCCCTTCATGTTTCAACTTAGTCTCAGAGGGGCTAATGAGAGCTCGGGTTATGCTGAGTCAACCAAGAAACTCACAGGGCTCTAACCAAGAAAGAAAGATTACACTGTGGTTTCATTAGAAGTAGACTTTAGCCAAGGATGCTGGCGAGACAAGTGGGAGCAGGACAAGCAAAGGGCCTGACTTAAGAGGTCAGAGGAACTAGAAGATGTTAATGTCGAAGGATTCCTGGTTCCCCAGATTTTCCCCATTCCCATATCTACATCGTGCTACCACCTGCCTTAACACATATTCTGGTTACATTGTTGTCAGTGCAATACTTTTTCCCCATACCCAAACCAATAGAATTTTATGTGCTGTAAATCTTAGTCTTAAATTAATCAGTCACATTGTACTCAATTAATAATATGCTATAGGAGAAATGCCTATGTTTAGTGATTGAATTGCAGAGAAGAATAGTAGCACAGTGCTGGGAAAATACATGTACAAAGATGCCACAGCATTTTATTCAAGTCTTCTTAGCTTTCAAGTAATTGAAGCCATCTTCAGTGAGCTTGAGCAAAAATGGAAAACAAAGATACTGGGATATCTCATACAGCTCAAGGACTCAGGAAGAGAATGAAATCAGGAACTGGAAAGATGTTAGGACTTTCATTTGCTTTATCTCTTTATCTTATTATCTCTGCTTCTCTCATAGTATCTGCTTCATATTTTTCCCTCTGCACATCTCCCTACTGTGCTTTTTTAGTCTGCATGGAAAAGGCCCTACTGTTGTACCTCAGTACCTAAGCTTATGTTGCAGTTGTATGCTAGTTTCTTCACTTAGACTAACTTATTATCTGTACCTCCCAATTCTAAATTCCTGTGAGAGGAAATTCAGTTGGCTCAGTGTGGGTCAGGTCCATTCTCTCAGGCCAATTCCCTGTAGCCAATTAAGTGGTATTCGAAACCACAGAAAGACAGCTGGAAGCCAACTCGATTCATCTTTTAGGGCTTGAGACTAGTTGCCAGGGAAGTTAAATCACTGTAAGCTCAAAGTATACCTTAGCATATATCTACTTAGAGGATTAAGACTATTTTTTTTTTGAGATGGGTCTTGCTCTGTCCCCCAGGCTGGAGTGGTGCAATGATGAGATCTTGGCTCACTGCAACCTCTGCCTACTGGGTTCAAGTGATTCTGTCACCTCAGCCTCCTGAGTAGCTGAGATTAGAGGTGTGCATCATCATGCCTGGCTAATTTTTGTGTTTTTGTGGCCATGGTTGGTCTCAAACTCCTGATCTCAGGTGATCTGCCCGTCTCGGCCTCCCAAAATCATGCCTGGGATTACAGGCATGAGCCACTGTGCCTGGCCATTAGATAAAGACTAATTCTAAGATGTAATAGAAGAAGAAGTAATTAGCAAGAAATTGAATGAGAACGATTTCTTCATTGTAAGAGTGGTTTGACCTTTGTTGTTCCTCCTAGGGATCCTTGGGTTTTTTTCACTCTTATACCCCTATGCACGAACATGTATCTTTTTCTTCACTTATTTATGGCTTTAGACATATAATCCAAGATGATACCTATTATTTTTTTTACATATGAATGGTTTTTAAGAATTCATTTTTGTGTATAAAATGCAACTGTCTTTTTAATACTGTGTGACTAGTTTAAAAAAAGAGAGACCACAGTCCCTTCTTTCTCACTCTCCGTGCCTTTCCACCAGCCCAATAATCTATTTCTGTCAAATTATTTGTTGGACTGTTGTGAGGCAGCAATTGGAAAATAGGCAATGAAAAACTAGAGAAAGGAGGGGAAAGACTTAGTTCTTCTTCCAGATCACCCCAAAACCGTTTATCCTGAAGTCTTCTACTTCACAGCATCACCATCTACCTGGATATCATCCTTAATTCTTCTTTCCTCCCCTCCCCTGCACTCAATCTGTATCTACTGCATCAAGTCCTGTAACTCCAATTCAGAAACCTACACTGAGTCTGTGTGCTTCTTTCCATTTTCACTACTACTGTCCAAATCTATGCCACCATAATCTGTTACCTGGACTACCACGATAGCTTCCTTAGATAGGTTCCCCTGGCCTATAACTCTTACTTTCCTGCAATCCATTCTTCACGGCAGGTAAAGTGATGTTTTCAAACTGGAATTGTATAGTCATGATAGAATATCTTGGATCAGGCTTCCCCTTCTACTGTAACAACTAGAAAACTGGACAAAATATATTATAGGATGTAAAGGTTTTGGACATTAGGCAAAAAGCTGCACAGAAACTTGATCCCTGAAAGAAAAAACAAATGAGGTGAGCCCTAGAATAGTCTTGGCTTTATGCCTGGAGCAATTCTCAAACTGCAATGCAGGAAGTAGAAAATAGCAGTCTTGCTGAGTTAAGAAAACAGAGACCAGCTTTAGAAGACTGAAGTGATTGTTTTTCTTCTCTGTTGTATTAAGTGGCCAGGTGATTTATGTTGACTGGTTTATGAATATTAAGGCAGCCATGCATTTTTGGAATAAATGACATTTGCTCAGGTATGTTCTTTTTCTTGTCTTCTCCAGTTTCTCTCATTCTCCATAATGCTTCAGAATTTCTCATTGCCAAAATGCCCCTTAAATACCTGTTCATGGGTTTTATCTCTCACATTCTCTCTACCCCTTCTTCAGAAACTCTTCACCTGCTCACCTCATGAAGAGTCTGAAACAGATGTCTGATTTTATATTTTTCTGGGAAATTCAAGCAGTTCATTAAGATTATCTTTTGGCATTAAGAAAATGCAATCACGTATCACTTAATGATGGGGAACATCCTGAGAAATGTGTCCTTAGGTGATTTCTTCTAATGGGAACATCATATAGTATACTTACACAAACCTAGATGGTATAGCCTACTGCACACCTATCCTATATGGTATAGCCTAGTGCTCCTAGGCTACAAACCTGCACAGCATGTTATGTACTGAATACTGTAGGCAATTACAACACTATGGCAAGTATTTGTGTATCTAAACATATTTAAATATAGCTAAGGTACAGTAATTATACCATAGTAAACTCTTTGGGACCACCATCATAAACACAGTTCATCATTGACCTAAATGTCATTATGCAGCTCATAACATTATTCAATTTTTATTTAAAGAGAACCACAGTTCTGATGTGTTAGACATTAGTAATGCCATTCAAAAACTTGAGTCAAAAACTACATAAAGATTTCTGAAAAATTTAAAAATGTGAATGTATATTACAAAAAGCCAAAAAGAGTAATAAAAAGCCAAAAAAGAATAATTTCATTTAAAAATAAACTGAGGAAAAATGGCATATTAGTTAAGATTCTTTTTTGCAACAACAGATTCTGCAAAAGAAGGACTTTAAGATCATTGATGGAGGAATTGAACATGAGGCTGCAGGAAGGGCGGTGATGTAGCTGTGCTTCTACTAACTAGAGCCTGTGATTCCAAAATCATCAGGACTCTAGTCTCTGCTTTTCTTTCCCTCCATTCTCTTATCATTCCATAATGCTAGGATAGGAAGCTTGGCTGCCAACAACTCCCTAACAAAGGAGCTACATTTTATAGTACCAAACACTGGAAAAACTGGCTTGACTCTCTCTTCCTACATCCAAAAATCTCTCTCTCTTTCTCTTTCTCTCTTCTCTCTTAAGCATGCCAGTTGGGCTTGAACTCTGCAATCAAATTACCTGAGTTGAGATAATTGAGAGAGAATATGGAAGAGAGAGAAAGAGGAGACATGACCTGGCATACCATAGAGTGACAGTTCAGTGCGTGACTGAAGATAGATTCATGGATGGGAGTGATGGGAACTGAGGCAGGAGGAGTTGTTTCAGGTTAAACTATTAATATCCTAGAATATCCTGATAAGGAGTTTCGATTCTGTCCTGTGGCTGATGCATTTCATCTAAAATTTAAGCTTAGAAATTACATAATTATAATTTAATATTATAAAGGAAACTGTGTGTGTAACTGGAATGATGGTAAAAGAGATAATCAGGCAGCTCTCTGTGATAACATACAAATTGCAGCAGAAGAAGGGCTTCTGGATCAAGAGTATTGGGAAAGGCTACTTTGCTAACATTTTCATCATTGCAGTCCTCCTTATTTACAGCTACGGAAGAGGTTTTTTTTTAGTAACCACAGGATAGGATACTTCATTTACAGAAGTATAAGTCTGGTTATTTTAATAACATTTGGATTTGATCTTTGCTCTAAGTCTAATATAGTATATTTACATAAAAATCTGTATAACTGCATCTATACTTGATTTTTTATGGGATTAAATTATGTTAAAAATCATGGTCCAAAATGTTTACTATCTGGAAAATTGGAGAATTATTTCTCCTTACACTCCTCACATATACATAACACATATATATTTCTCAGCTTCATATTTCTAGTCTTTAATGATTGAATCATTCAGTCAATAGCATTTATTATAATAAATTTGAACTAAGTAGGTATTTGCAAGTATTGTTAATAAAAAAAGTCTATACTCAGAATATCTCACAATGTATAATATAGAACAGTAACTCACTGCTTTTACATTAATTTACTTTTTGAGGTACATTAATGTACTATTTATTTTTTTTAGTGTCCACTGCCATAGTTCTGTGACATTTAGACCCAGAATTAGACACATCTAATTTGATTGCAGTCCTGAAAGGCTTACTGTTTGACTACCCTTTCCTTTTCTTCCCAAGTACCCCTGTATTCTCTCTCTCATATACATACACATAATATTCCCATATAAACAATTTTTGGGGTGAGATGTTCTCATTCTATTGAGTAGATAAGCAATGTAGAGTAAGGAAACTGCAGGCATAAAGAAAATAAGTAAGTATTTAACAGTTGGTGCTAAAAAAAAAATAACAGAGATGCTCATTTACTACCCGTCTTGTCCTGGCTCCCAACATTCTTTGAAACAATTTAGGCGGGCCTGACAGTAATTCCCTGAAAGTGTCCTCCCTTTCTGAACCACCCACTGACCACAGCTCAGATGGTATTTGACTCTTTTGTGACATCTCTTCTTACTTCTTACTCAAGGTTATACTTGAGGTTAATTTCAGTTAGATTCCCACTGTGAAAATGCTATGAATATGTGTCAGAAATAAGTCCTGTGTTTTCATTTGTTAAAAATTTGGGCTATGAGATAAAGAAAAATCATTAAGCCTTCATGGCGATGCTTACTAGTTCTTGTTTTTCTTTTTTGTGATTTGGAACTTTAAAGCATGGGACATTCAGAACTGGGAAGGACTTAATACAGACTCATGAAAGTTTTTTAATCATATCAAGACTATATTGTTGCCATCTGTGATACTAATAACTAGGCTATAATGAGTGCCTGCTAAGTGCCAGGCACTGTTCTAGTAATTTTGCACACATTGATAATCACTACATTAATAACAAGGTAAGTTGACCACCTTTAACAGATGAGAAAACTAGGCTGAAAAAGGAGATTAAGTAGCATTCCTGAGGTTACATAGCTAGTAAGTGATAAAACCTGAATTTAACTTCAAGTTTGTCTGACTCTAAATCCTAAACCCTTCTCACTAAATAAAGTTTGTCTTTCAGCTGGGTGCAGTGGCTCATGCCTGTAATCCCAGCACTTTGGGAGGCCAAGTTGGGCGGATCACTTGAGGTCAAGATTTTGAGACCAGCCTGGCCAACATGGCGAAACCCCATCTGTACTAAAAATGCAAAAATTAGCCGGGTGTGGTGGTGTACACCTGTAGTCCCAGCTACTCAGGAGGCTGAGGTAGGAGAATTGCTTGAACCCACAGGGCGGAGGTTGCAGTAAGCCGAGATCATGCCACTGCTCTCCAGCCTGGGCGACAGATGGAGACTCTATCTCAAAAAAAAAAAAAAAGCTTTATCTTTCAACAGCAATCAATATAATAGTTAAGAAGTTGCTGCACATCTATACAGGGCAGCAAAAACAGAAAGGAATCGGGATTATTATATTTCTATTTTCAGATAAGACACATTTTTATTTTAGACTTCAAAAATTTGAAATGGAATTATTTGTTAAAATTCTAAATGTAATTGTTAGAGTTTTCAGTGGAAAATTGATAGTCTTATCTCAAATGCTGTAGAGTAAGGATGGATTTTCTGTCTCTAGTTTTAAGATAAAATTGGCTGCAGCATTGGCAAGATGTCGAATCAAACATGATGCCCTTTCAATTTATCACATCCTGCCAGAAACAGTTAGGAAACAGGAACTAAGGGCCTCCACTTTACCACTTTATGCTTGGATAAATACTTGTAAAATCAGGTAAGTGTTTAAATCAAATTCTTTATATTTCAAGTCTCCAGGCTTTTAAAATAATATGATGAGAAGCATTGCCTTTTTTAAGAGGTGGGGGTGTCATATCTAGGGGAGTGATTAGGGAATCATAGTTACGTTTCAGAGCTTATGACCAAATTACCAAAGGTAACTACATACATACGTTAACTTTTCTGTCAATAATTATCTTTTCGTTTATTTTTGGTTAAAATTGTTAATTCCATTAGATGTAATGCATGAAGTGATGTTTTTCTTTGTTACAGGAAAAAGGTGTTAGTGTTAAGTACATTTTTAATGTATTATATTTGTAATTACAAGCAAATTTTTAATGTATTATATTTGTATTTACAAGCAAATGTTGTATATTTACAGCCCTGAAGAAGTTTATAATAATTTGAAGAGAAGAGGCTATCATAAAGTCAAATCTGTATTGCATATTGATGATAAAGTCTTTGCGGTGGACCAACATTGCTATGATGTCTTAATTTTTCCATCTCATCTTAAAAACGATCTTATAAATATAGATCTTTTCAAAGATTACAAACTTATTTTTCAGGTAAACTAATGTTTACTTTCATTGTGATTCTCAACAATCCAACCTAACCAAAGAACTTCTCCACTTAAAACCTAACATTGTATATGTTTTTATAGATTATCAGGGAGGTTTATAAGGCCTAATTGTCACCTAATATCTCTACAATCAGTGCATCTGATTGGCATCTTTGTCTTATGTGAATTTACAAAGAACATATTCTTCTCCCCGATTCCATAGATGGGAAGATTTACATTACTGGCAGCTGTAAGGTTCTACTTTTCTCCCCTAAAGGAGAATTCAAGAGAAGTTACAATGAAACCTTTTCTTCCTTTCATTTCCGGGAAAGATTCTAGTGCCATCTTGTATATGAAAAAGCAATTGTAATCGTTTTTCATAATTTCTGTAATATAGTCTTAGAGCTTTGATTTGTGAGAGGTGTATAAAGGCTATCAATATAGGAAGGGTATGAGGTATAATGTGGTTTAAACAGAACAAAAATAAAAGGTATAAAAAAAGTAGGTTAAATTCATTTTTACATCTGTAGAGTCTAATCATTGCCTCAAATGTACCTTGATCTTCTAAGGTTTATCCCTTTTCCACATTCATATTCTTGGGGAGAATCTCTTACCATGTCAAGCACTGAGATCAACTGCAGAAGCCTAAGCTTCTCAAACATCTTGATTTTAACCTCTGTGAGCTAGTGGCAGTTTAGGTGACAAGGTAATGGGGAGAAAAAAAATGGAGGTACTGGATGAGTGGGTTTTTGTGAAGGGGTAAGAATGGGAGCTAAGATAGGACATCCTTCATCTGTTGACTATATTATAGAGATTTTGGTATTGCTTTATACAAAAATTAGTAACAGTCATAATTTAGGCTAAACAAAGTTAAGCTGTTTGCTTTAAATATATCAGTTGTCTCTGCTAACTCTTTACTTAGACATATTAAGATGTTAAAACTAAAATGGATTAGGTATCTAATATTACTATGAAGTACTTTCTTTTTTGTAAAGCAAATCGAAGTCAGCTTATATTCCTAGTCATACCCTTTGAAATTCTAATCACACTGTTATCTTATAGGACAAATCTCGAAGTCTTGCTGTCCATTCTGTAAAGGCTTTATTAAATATGGATGATGATATCTTAATGGTCAATACAGGTTCGTGGTACACAGTTGCCCATATGTCAGTTTTAACAAATAATAATACCTCAAAAGTATTTGTGTGTGGAGTGCAATCACAAGCTAAGGATCCTGACTTGAAGACCCTTTTCACAAAAATGGGATGTAAAAGTATGTATGAATAGTTCTTCATTTGGCGATTATTATTCTATAGGATTTTAGAAATGTTAAAAGTGTTTTATTAGTTTTTTGTAATTGAAAAGCTCTATATGTGAACTATGATCTTAAAATCCTCACCAATCTATATTATATCAGGCTGTCCTTGTTGCTTAATTTGGTTAAACAACTGTAGGTTAAATTAATATCTTGGTAGTTTGTAATGGTGTTTGACATTTAGCTATACATAATTTGAGGCTCAAACAACATTTAAAGTGGAAATTTTATCATTTAATAAGTAAGAATGATTATCACTTAATAATAAATACATAAGTGCTTAAGTGACAAAGATAATATCTAGGACTAGAAGCTAAGTCTTTTTTTTTTTTTGAGATAAAGTCTTAACTTTGTAGGTCAGCGTCGAGTGCACTGGACGATCACAGTTTACTGCAGCTTCTGCCTCCTGGACTCAAGAGATCCTACCCCTCAGCTTCCCAAGTAGCTGTTACTGCAGGCTCATGCCACTGTACCCAGCTAATTTTTGTAGAGCTAGGGTTTTGCAATGTTACTCAAGCTAGTCTCAAACTCCTGGGCTCAAGTGATCTGCCTGCCTCCCACAGTTCTGGGATTACAGGCATGAACCACCATGCCTACCCTAGGAGCTGTCTTTTAGGCTTCTTGTTTTTAAAAAATGTTTCCATTGGATCATGCTAACTAAAGATGACATTTTATTATAGGTTCAGTGAGGCTGAAAAACTAAGCAAAACTTTTAACAGATTCACAGGGATGGGAGACAAAAAGCGGAATTCAGGATTTGACCAGGAGAGGTAGCCTGGTAAATACTCAGGATTTCTCTTGGAATCCTGAAGTACATCTTGAATAATGATCAGTCCTCCAAAGAATTAGAATTAGAACCCACATTGTAGTCATCTTAATTTCCAATTAGATTAAGGTGGTCTGGGATTGCTAGTGCCCAGTCTTAGCTGCCTGCCAGAAGCAAAAGTAAATTTCCTCTGGAGGAAAACAACATCATCCTACATTTCTAATTATCTTCTATTCTAATTTTTTTCTTTTTTTTTTTTAGTTTTTTGAGATGGAGTCTCCCTCTTGTCACCCAGGCTGGAGTGCAATGGTGCCATCCCAGCTCACTGCAACCTCCCAGATTCAAGCAAATCTCCTGCCTTAGCCTCCCAAATAGCTGGGATTATAGGCACCTGCCACCAGGTGTGGGCCTAGCCAAGTTTTGTATTTTTTGTAGGGATGAGGTTTCACCATGTTGGCCAGGCTGGTCTGGAACTCCTGACCTCAGGTGATCCGCCCACCTCTGCCTCCCAAAGTGCTAGGATTAAAAGCCACCACACCCGGCCTGTATTGTCTAAATTTTTTCAAATGCAGTATCTACCACTCAGTTTAAAAAAAAAAACTGACAGAAGAAGAAAAGATATGACTAAAAGAGAAAGCACTGCAGTAGAAGCAGACCCACAGTATATCTGGGGATACTGGATTGATCAGATGTGGACTTTAGTTTTATTTTTTTGAGACAGGGTCTTCTTATGTTGCCTAGGCTGATCTCACACTACTGGGATCAAGCAATGCTTCTGCCTCAGCTTCTCAAGTAGCTGAAATGACAGGCAGGTGCCACTGCACCTGGCTCAAGATATACACTTTAAAATAACTATGATTAATAAGCTGGAATATATGTCAAGTTTTAGAATTTTAGCAGAGAACTAGAAACTATAAAAGCTAAAAGAAAGTTCTAGAACTGAAAAATACAGTGTGTGAAATTAAGAAATTAATGTGATATAGATTTAACAGTAAATTACACAGAACTGAAGATACAATAAGTGAACTAATAGGCCTGAAGAAAATATCCAGACTGAAGCATGGGGAGACAAAGGATATAAAAGATGTCACAAGACACACTTGAGACTCAGTGATTCAATTATCTCATGTGTGTTTGATTGGAATTGCAGAAGGAGAGGAGAAAAGGAATTGGAAAGAAACATATTTGAATTTCAGGCTGGAAATTCTTGAAAATTGATGAAAGACATTAAGCCACAGATTCAAGAAGCCCTATAAAGTCTAAGCAGAATAAGTACGTGGAAAACATATCCTATGGCCTGAATATTTGTGTCTCCACAAAATTTATATGTTAAAATCCTAACCCCCAAAGTGATGTTATCAGGAGGTGGGGCCTTTGGGAAGTTGTGAGGGCAGAGCCCTCATGAGTGGGATTAGTGCCTTTATGAAGGGGACCCCAGGGACCTAGGTAGTCCCCTTTATCATCTGAGGATATAGCAGGAAGACACCATCTGTGAGAAGGGAGGCCCTCATCAGACACTGAATCTGCTGGTGCCTTGGTCTTCAACTTGCTAGTCTCCAGACTTGTAAGAAATAAAATTCTTTTGTTTATAAGCTACTTACTCTATGGCATTTGTCATAACAGCCCAAACAGACTAACACAATATATTAGGCATACCATAGCATACCTGCTGAAAACCGAAGAAAAAGGGCATTGGTGAGGAGCTGGGGAGAAAATACATATACCATCAATGGAATAGCAATAAAAGTAAAACCTAACTTTTCAATAGAAATAAGTAAAACCAGAAAACCATTAAACAATGTCTTTATAATGCTGAAAGAAACTGCCAGGCTGGATTTCTATATGCACCAAAAATACTCTTTGAAATAAAATAAAGATATTCTTAGACAAAAAAAAATCTGATTGGATTTGTCACTGGTAGACACAGTAAATGAAATACTAAAGATACATTGTTTGGTAGAAGAAATGTTATATAGGAAATTGGAGACTGGACACAGTGGCTCATGCTGGTAATCCCAGTGCTTTGGGAGGCCAAGTTAGAAGAAGGCCATGAGTTTGAGACCAGACAGGCAACACAATGAGACACTGTCTCTACTAAAAATTTAAAAATTAGCTGGATGTAGTGGTGTACAGCTGTAGTCCTAGCTACTCAGGACACTGAGGTGGGAGGACTACTTGAGCCCAGGAGTTTAAGGTTACAGTAAGCTGTGATTGTGCCACTGCATTCCAACCTGAGCAACAGAGCAAGACCCTGTCTCTCAAAAAAAGTAGAGATGCTGAAAGAAATGAAGAACAATACAAAAGTTAAGTATGTAGGTAAATCTAAATGATTATAATCTAATGTCTAATGGGGTTGCAAATTAATGTCTGTGAGATTAAAGTTATTTATGTTATATGCAATAAAAATAAATTACAACTATGGCATATAATTTTAGAGGAAAGGAAATAGAATTAATGTATCCTATGGTTTTTGCTTTTCTAGGCAGTGGTAAAGTACTAAACTATATTAAGTGCATGATGTGTGCTATAATTTCTGGGACAGCGAGTTAAACACATAATAAAATAATGTATAATGAATAGTTAAGAGGGGAGAGAAATGGAATATAGAATTGGAATATGAGTCTAGAAAAAGATTAAACAGGAGAGGCTGGATGTGGTGGCTCACACCTGTAATCCCAGCACTTTGGGAGGCAGGGTGGGAGGATCACCTGTGGCCAGGAGTTCAAGACCAGCCTGGCCAGCATGGTGAAACCCAGGCTCTAATAAAAATATAAAAATTGGCCGGGCGCGGTGGCTCATGCCTGTAATCCCAGCATTTTGGCAGGCCGAGGTGGGTGGATCACGAGGTTAAGAGATCGAGACCATACTGGTCAACATGATGAAACCCCGTCTCTACTAAAAATACAAAAAAAATTAGCTGGGCATGGTGGCGCGTGCCTGTAGTCCCAGCTACTTGGGAGGCTGAGGCAGGAGAATTGCTTGAACCCAGGAGGCGGAGGTTGCGGTGAGCCGAGATCGCGCCATTGTACTCCAGCCTGGGTAACAAGAGCGAAACTCCGTCTCAAAAAAAAAAAAAAAAAAAAAAAAATATATATATATATATATATATATATATATATATATATATATATATAAATTAGCCAGACACAGTGGTGCAGGCCTGTAGTTCCAGCTACTTGGTAGGCTGAGGCATGAGAATCATTTGAATCCCGGATGCTAAGATTGCAGTGAGCTGAAATCATACCTCTGCACTCCAGCCTAAGCAACAGAGTGAGACTCTGTCTCAAAAAAAAAAAAGATAAAGGAGACAATATCAGGCACAATGGCTCATGCCTGTAATCACATCCCAGCACTTTGGGAGGCTATGGCGGGTGGATTGCTAGAGCCCAGGAATTTGAGACCAGCCTGGGCAACATGGTGAAACCCTATTTCTACAAAAAAATAGAATAAAAATTAGTCAGTGTGGTAGCACACATCTGTGGGCCCAGCTGCTCAGGAGGCTGACGTTAGAGGATCACTTGAGCCCAGGAGATTGATGCTACAGTGAGCCGTGATTGTGCCATTGCCCTCTAACCTAAGTGATAGAGCGAAACTCTGTCTTAAAAAAAGAAAAAAAAAGGAGGGAAAAGGGGACATAGAAAAAGCAAGACAAATAGCAAATAGGATGGTAAATTAAACCAAATAATATATATTTAAGCTTATATACATTATATACATATAAGACATTAAAATATATAAACAGAAAATATTTTATATTTTATATATATAAAATATTTGATAAATGTTACTATGGCTCAGCCTCCCAAGTAGCAGGGACTACAGGCGTGTGCCACCATGCCTGGTGAATTTTTTGATTTTTTGTAGAGATGACATCTCATTATGTTGCCCAAACTGGTTGTAAACTCCTGGGCTCAAGCAATCTTCCTGTCTTGGCCTTCCAGACTATTGGGATTATAGGCATAAGCCACTGCACCCGGTCAGTCTTGGATTTTAAAAGATCATCTACATGCTGTTTACAAGAAATCCTCTTAAATAAAAGGATACAAAAAAGCTTAAAAGGGGCAGAAAAAGATATGCAATGCGTATACTAATAAGAGCTGCAGACAAATTGATTCAAGTCAAGAAGCATTGCTAAGAATAGAGATATTTATAGCCAGGTGTGGTGGCTCGCGCCTGTAATCCCAACACTTTG